ATGTCCAATGTAGATAATGATATGAAGGCAATCGGCTGATGATAATATAATATAGCAATATAATCCAGTATAAATCAATCGGCTAACAATAATATGATAGAATAAACATTGATCCGAAGGTTCAAGCACACATCGGCTGGAAGACCGATGTCAATAAATCCACAGATTAGATTAAACAGTGAAACCTTTGTTGTCATCGGCTAAATCAAACTTATATGTATATGCAATCCTTATGAGCCGATGCAACGTCCAGATAACTCACCGGTTGAAACCCCGATGAAACCCTTATTGGCAATCAAGAAGCAGGCTAGAGATTATGGTTCTAAGCATGACTTATTAGATCAAACTTAACTGATGCGGCACTAAGTATGAAAAGAAACATAATATCTAGACAATCAAGTCGTTGATTGAGTTTTCAGGGTGGTAGATGTCTAAGCTAATCTAATCTAGCAACACGATTTAGCCGATACCGGCAGAAACCCTAAAACGAGAAGCAGCCAATAGAGCTAAATTGATATGCTAAGACTAGATTAACAGAGACATATGATAAATAGGTAGGCAAATATATCATCCAAACCAGAGTAATCCAAGAGGTCGAATGTCTTGATGCAGCCTTGAACGACGCCGATGTAGATGAGACAATTGCCCGGGCCGGCAGAACATTGGACTTACCCCTTCGCCGGAGATCGAACACCGATGCAGCCCCGCGTCGGGTGCCAAGTCCCGCCGAACGATAAAATTAAATAGAAAAGGTAAAAGGTGGCGATGCGCCGAATTGTATTGATCGTGAGGATAGATTACATAGACCCCGGGTGTACATATTTATACCCATGGGTTGATACAATTCCTTGTCGGACAAGAAAGAAACTAACCTAAAGATAAAAGGAAAATATAAAGTCCTTATTGGACACTAAACACACTTTCCTAAAGATAAAAGGAAACTAACAAACTATTCCTAATTAATAGATAAACTGCCATGCCGCATCCTCTTTAAACTCGGTCACTTAGGGATAAGCTTCCTTTAGTAGATTGATTTCCTTAACTGAATATAGCAGGAATCCGACTATTGGCGACTTGATAACTCCCATCGGCTGATTCCGAGATGCTGCAGCCAATAATGATTCTAAGCTGATGACGTCTTTGCCGATTACCAAATTTCACTGTTAACACATGGTTTGGAACCCATCTCCCCGCACGAAAAACGGAGCAGCCCATTAGCGCGTGACTAATTAAGTATTAACAATTTTTTAAAAAAAATGGATTAATTTAATTTTTTTAAGCAATTTTTGTATAGAAAATTTTTGCAAAAAACACACCGTTTATCAATTTAAAAAGAGTGCGCGCGGAATACGAGGGAGAGGGGTTGGGAACATGGAGCAAAGACCACAGCCCTAGCCAAGGAGGGGATCTGGAGGGGCGTCTGAGGTATAGATGGCCAAAAGGCTCGAGGCCCGACGGCCCGGCCCACGGCACGGCGTTTTGGCCCAGCCCAAGCACGGCCCGGCCCGTCAAGGGTCGGGCCCGTGCCGGCCCGGCCCGACCACCGGGCCGTGCCTGGGCCTCTCCGCCGGCACGGCACGATGGGCCGCATGCTAAGCCCGACACATAAACAATAGGGAGTAAAAATAGACATATTATATGCCACGGTCGAAAGAATAGGGACGTAAAATAGACTTATTTTACCTATATATATGTCAGCCCAAAGAGGAGGGACGAAAAATAGACTTATTTTCACTATATATATATATGTCATAGCCCAAAGTAGAGGGATGGAAAATAGACTTATTTTCGCTATATTATGTCACAGCCCAAAGACGAGGGACGAAAACTAGACTTATTTAAAAAAGGCACGGTGGGCCACCCGCGTCTTCGGGCCGGCCCGGCATGGCCCGACAGCTGGTGGGCCGTGTCTGGGCGGGAGGCGCAGCCCATGGGCCGGCACGGCCCGGCACGAAGTGCCGATCGGGCCGTGCCGGCCCGATGGCTGGTGGGCCGTGCCTGGGCCGGGCCGTGCCGGGCGGGCCTTTTGGCCATCTATAGTCTGAGGTCGCCCTGCCACGACCAGTGAGAGAGAGAAGGTTGCCTTTTCAACTCAATTTTGATGTTTGATACTACCTCCGTCCCAATTTAAATGTAGTTGTGGGTTTCCGTGTTCAACGTTTGATCGTACGTCTTGTTTCAAAATTTATGAGAAAATATAAAAAAATAGTCACACATAAAGTACTATTCATGTTTTATGATCTAATAATAATAATAATACTAATCATATTTTTTTAAAAAAATAGTATGAACAGTCGAACGTTGGACATAAACAATGCAAAACTATACTCTTTTTTGACGGAGGTAGTACTGAAATTGCACCGTGTATAGATCCCAATTTTTTCTTCAAACTTCCAACCTTTTCCATCACATCAAACTTTTCTACTCACGTAAACTTCTAACTTTTCCGTCACATCGTTCCAATTTCAACCAAACTTTCAATTTCAACCAAGTGTGAACTAAACACAGCCCAGGTGTACAAGTAGGTATAATATGCATATAACGGAAAAAATTTAGTAATGCCACTCAATTAACGGCACTTTCAAAACTTACCACAACTTACCAAAATTTAGTAATGGATCTGATCGCCGTCGGCGAGCTCCTCCTCGCACATGCCGTCGGCTGTCGATGTCCTCCTCGCGTGCATCTGGCCACTGTCAAGCGTCGCCAGCCGCTGAGGTCCAAGCACGACGAGCTCGTCCTCGTGCACGCCGTCAACCGCCAAGGTCCTTTCGGCACACGCTGCCAGCCAGCCAGCAAGGTCATCCCGGCGCGCGCATCCGGGCACCATTGGCGAGCTCCTCGCTCACGCCGTTAGCCACCAAGGTCTTACCGGCACACGCATCGGGCCTCCGTCGACGAGCTATTCCTTATGTGCCGCTTGCCACTAATTAAGGTCCTCCCAGTGTGCTGAAAGGAGAGGAATCGGCGGATCTTTAACCACAAAGAGGTGACAACGAGTTTTTTTCTATCAAAAATTAAAAAAGAGGCTAGCCTTTGCGCTTTAGTAGGGGCTAAACGGTTGCGTGAGTTAATCCCGCACTCTGTATAATGTATAGCTATAGTGTTTCTACTTGTTTCATTTTGTCTCTAGGGGTTGTATTTTCTGCTGCTCTATTCAATGAAAAGGCACTATAGTGCTGTTTTCTATTCAAAAAGTGTGTTGGAGTGGGAGAGTAGAGTAGCAACACGAGGAGAAGCTAACCGATGGTGATGAGAAGGGCCAGGGATTCCATGCCATCGTGCCCGACCTCCGTGGCTACAACGACTACGACAGGCAATGCTAATAATCGTACGACGTGACTTCCCGATCACTACCAGGAAAACCATTTTTCTAGACGATGGCATGTTTTTCCAGACGAGTAGGCCTCTCGGAGTTAAATGACCACCTAAAAAAATGACAACCGTGGGTGAGTTCGTCGTCTACCTGGGATCTCTTAATAGATCTGCCTACGAAAATACCTTAAGCATCATAAAAACTGTCACATGCAGTCAAAAATCCTAAGTCCCTCTCCCTCCCCTCCCACCTCTCCTTGCCTCTCTCCCCGGTGCTCCCCTCCCCTTCCCTCCCACCTCTTCTTCCCTCTCTCCTCGGCGACAGCAGTGGCTAGCGGCGGTGGCGGTGGCGGCTCCCCTTCCCTCCCTCCCAGATCCAGCCGAAGGGGGGAGGAGAGAGGGCGGCGACGGCGGCTTCCGTCCCTCCTCCCAGATTCGGCCAGAGGGAGGGGATAGGCGATGGCGACGGCGCCAACGGCTCTAAGCGGAGGCGGCGTCGCACCACCCTCAGCCCGGATCCCCTCCCCTCCCCTCCCTTCCCAGATCCGGCTGAAGGGGGCATGGGGGAGGGCGTGTTGGCCGGTGACTCCCCTCCTTCCTCCCAGCTCTGGCCGGAGGGAAGGGGGAGGGGGGTGGCGGCGGCTTCTCTCCTAAATCTGGCCGGAGGGGACAGGGCGGCGGTGGCGGCTTTCCTTCCCTCCCCTCCCTCCCTCCTGGCAGCGTCGACGCGGCTCCAGGCGGTGGCGACGGTTACCCTCCCTCCCTCCCAGATCTGGCTGAAGGGGGGAGGGAAGGGTGGCGGCGTCGCCCCTGCAACAACCTCCCCTCACCTCCTCTCCCTCTCCCTCTCCCTCTCCCCCCAAAACCTTAACCCTAGATCTGGCCGAAGGTGCGAGGATTGCGGCGGCGGCGTGGCTGGATTGGGTAGGGGGGGTGTGGTGATTTTTTTTTTCGCCCAAAATATTTTCGCAGGTGGGTAGCTATGGCGCCTCATTTTCACAGGCTTATGCGTGTAGGCAGGCCTTCCCCTCGTCCGGGAAAATGATTATTGGCTGTTTGGAAAACCGTTTTTGTACTGGATGGATCGGATGGCACGGAATGCAACACTTCGTGCCCTCGGCAACAAGTTCTGAAAAGTGTTATGAATCGAGTAGCACAGTGGTGGAGTCAGCGACGCCATCGATCGAGTCCGGCGGCTATGGTGTTTCTCGGTGATCTACCGATCTTTTTATACTCCAACGGCGAATCCACAGTGAAGGTGGCAACGGCGGAGCTTGAGCTTACGGGGAGATGCTTCGGCCGCTTGAATGGCATATACTGAAATTTCTCGCCTATACAACAGTGCATTTTTCATCAAGGCTTTGTTTATGTGTTTAGTTCACTCTAAAATTGGAACAATGTGACGAAAAAGTTAGAAGTTTGTGTGTAGGAAAATTTTGATGTGATGAAAAAGTTAGAAGTTTGAAGAATTATTTTGGAACTACACACAGCGCAAGTGTAACTTAACCTGATCAAAATTCATTTTCTCAGTGTGAAAGGACCTGTAGCCTAATGGTTACAAGAGCCTCAGTAGCATCTGAGGTACTGGGTTCTTCAGTGGCATGCGATGTACCCGTCGACAGCGAGGCGCCTCTTCAAAAATGCTCATAGGGGTGAGTGCGCGTGCGTTGTGAGTATATGCATTGTACTGTGTAATTCTCAAAATTCATTTTCCCAGTGTACGTGTATCATGTCAAAAGAATTAATCTGGAACTACTAATTACAGAGGATCATCATCTAAAAATTAAACGTTACAAACTACTACTCCTAATTACAAAGGACAGTAATCTCCGGTGCCTACCCCAAGTCACCAACGGAAGAATGCCAAAATCCGGTCAGAACCGCCGCCATGGCGGCAGAGGAGAAAAATCACGGCGACCGTGGCGAGGCAGGGGAGGACGGCGACGACGACGCGTTGCGGAGCCGGCTCGGCGCCGGCCGGAAGCTCCACCTCCTCAGCGCGCCGGCGCCGCGGCTGCGCGTGGCGGGCGGCGACAGCGCCCGCCGCACCACCTCCCGGTTCCCCGTCGGCACCCGAGCCATCGCCGACGCCCTGCCTGCCCTGCCGCACGCCTGCCGCCTCGCCAACGGCGCCGTCGATGCCGCCGCCGCCGCTCGCCCGCCCGCGCCCCACCAGTTGAACCCCTCCGCTCGCCCGGGGAACACGCCACCCCCACCGCCCGGCCTCGGCGTGTTACTGCCGCCGCCGCCGCCGCCGCTGCTCGGCCTCCTCGGCCGCGGCACCCCTCCTCGCGCCGCCGAGCGAGAACTCATCGTCGCTAGTCGTCCCTCGCTTCACTGCCGCCGCTACGCTACCTGCCTCTGCTTCCGGCGTCTTCTTGTCGTCGTCTCGTCTCGTCGCCTCTTATACGCACGAGCCGCCTGCCTCCTACGCGCGCCGCGTCGCGTGGCGGAGTGCGGCCATGAGCGCGCGGGCGAGCGGAAGAAGAAGCCGCAGCGAACCTTACATACGGCTCGCGCCGTCGCGCGCGCGTTCGCGTTCGTGTTGACGTCTTCGTGGGTGGGTTGGGTTGGGTGGTCGTGACTCGTGAGCCGCAAGAATGCAACGCGGTCAGAGAGGCTTCGGGAAGAAGAGGTTTGGGTGACAGGACAGCGAGTGCGTACGGGGGATTGGGCCCGCATGTCAGTGTCGGTGGCGGGTCGTTCGGCGATTCTCACGTGGAGACGTGCTCCGGACAGCTGGGCGCAACTGGCATTTTTTTCTCTTTTTTTTTTTTGCTCCATTTGGAAGACTGCACCTGCTAGCTAGCAGCCTGAAAATGCTGAACTGTTCTCTGCTCTGTCTCGCACTTGCAGTGCTTTTCCTGAGATTTGACCACGCTAACTTGTGGCGTATTCTCGCAATTGGTCCGTTAAAAATGATCGGTCTTCCGGCTGCTGGTTGGATGGTAGTACAATAATACTCCAGCTGTCTTCCTTCACGCAATGTTACATGGACAGTGAACAAGTACGAGTTCACCTTTCCGCTCGAATTTCGTCGAATATCCTCAGATTTTGGAGCTCCCTTGATCAGCTTTGGTTTGTACGAGCATCTAATTTCTTTCGAGATTGGTTAATTTTTGTTAAATCTTACAAATTTGGGCCTTTTACTTCCTAGCCATTTTTCGAAAATTAAACCTAGAATTTAACTATAGAGTTCTAGACATGGAGGATAAACATCTTAGTGTTAACGATTATGGGTTGTCCAGCTACAATTTACAGCACAGCCATATAACTCCGTGGTACTTATGGTATAGAGTCCATTACAACTAGTGTCATGAATGGGGTTGCTGCCCATTCTCTTGGGTTGTCGAAGGTTGGCACCACCCTCGTTAGCGTTGACCTCCCGCACCCTCATCTCAATCTCAAGAATTAGTGTTTGTTTAGTTGCTAGTCAGAGCCTTACAAGTCGCCATCGTTTGTCAATAGTAGTTGTCAAACTTCTCTAAGGTTAGATGCTCAAAATCTTTACCAAACCTTAATAAGTCTAAAAGAATTTTGGCACATTTTTCTAAGTTATTGATGCATCAGACCTAATTTGTTGGAAGAGAATATTATCACAACTGTGGCTTCAACCAAATAGTTGTATAAATTGGTCTTGCTTAATATTAAATGCGGCAAACTGACCGTCAACCAAATTGGCATTATAAAAGTAAAAATATATTATGAGAAGTGAATCAGTGTACCCTGCTTTATCAATTCCCTTGAAAGTCTAATACCAACTCACCACACCATTGTTTGAAGAGCGGGATGGAGCAGAAAAGAGAGTTTGTCCCCTCTCTACCACACTTAAATCCCAATATCATAAATTAATTATAAGATTGAAAAAAACTTGGAAAATCTAACATCATATCCTGGTTTGTCAATTTTTCAATGAAGGTGTGCCAAATAAAGATGCGACTTGTCCAGTTTATTGCCAAATAAAATTGGTAGAGTTGAAAGTTGTAGCAAAATGAACAAGCCCATATATGAAGAGGGATAGAGGGGAAATGTGACTTTGTTTGGAGGTGTGCACCAAAGAGATTGGCACCAACTTCTTGCCATTTCAATGTCTAGTGTAGTATCGCTTCCACAGTGCCAAATTTCGAGTTGATGCGGAAAATGATTAACTTCGACATAGCACTGAGCTACAAGTTTGTTTGTGAAAAGCACTAAATTATAGAGACCGTCTACCTATCATTGAATTGTTTCATGGGGAAAATCAACCGATTTTCAATGGATGAAATCTCTTTAAGATTTGTGCAAGACACCTTATCCCTCAATCACACTCGTCCTCCTTGTCTCCTAGAGTCCTAGTAGTAGTATTGTTCTCACTAGTTGTGCATCGCCGCTATCCCACCCTCTTCATTCTGTCACCCCTGCATCCATAGCGTCACCACTGTTCCTGGTGAACCCTACTAGCCATCTCCTCCCTACCACTTCTCCAACTGCCAAATTGTTTTATGTTTGAAGTCAATCGTCCTCCTATAACTCCAGTGAGATGCTCCCACACTCTCGAGCCTCCCTCATCTCTTATATGTCTCCCGTTGGAACCAGGATTGTCTGCCTTCATGGGGGTGACTGAAACGAGCGTGCAATCAGTACTCATCCACTGTCCAAACCATATAACATCTCTCACATGACGTGTGCCCTTAATAATACTACCTCCATCCTAAAATATAAGTGATTTTGAATGGATGGGATATTTTCTAGTACTACGAGTCTAAACAGGCTCCATATCCAAATTTATAGTACTAGGAAGTGTTACATTTCCATTCGTTTAAAATTCCTTATATTTTGAGATGAAGAGAGTACTGGCTAATAGAACCAACCCATGAAAGCTCAAGCTCACTAGTGATAGCAAACACATCTCCAGAGTTTGATGACATGCGTTCACCCCGCCGCCATCGTCGGCGGCGGGGAATGACCCGGAGCTCGTCCGCTAGGATGCGCCGCCGAGAAACGTTGCTTCCTCGCTGCCACCTTGGGCGCAGTTCTCAAACTCCGTCGGTCCATCTTCCTGCTAGTATTGGGTACAACAATCGCAACTATTCAGCATATGCTTGCTGCTTGTGAAACTTGGGTAATATGGATGCACCAAGACCAGGTAGTAGCATAGCACAATTACAATAAGCAGCAAGCAAAGCATGCATTTGATTTGACCGTGCAGCAAGCAACGTATGAATTCTTTTTTTTTTATAACAGCCGATACAATTGGAACGATACAGAGAAGATTAGCATGCCCCTGCACAACGTATGAATTCGATTAGGTTTCTTGCATAAACACAGTGAGGAACACCTTGTGATGCTTACCTCCAACTGCTACTGTTGTTGCACCGCCGCTGTAGTCTTGTCCTCAAGGGAAGACTGAAGATGGACTAGCGGAGCTCGAACATGATGCCACTCCCTGGCGATGGTGGTGGCAGGCACGTTTTTGCTGCCACTTGCTAGGATTTCGTGGGCTTCAATGGCTGGTTCCGCCAACTGAAAATCCTATTTTTTGAATGTGCGCCTGAATTCTTTTGTTAGGGTTTCGGGGCAGGGTGTGGTGTGTGTGTTGGGGGGGGGGTGGAGAAAAGAGCTGGCCTGGTTCCCGGATCGATCTTGTTAAGGGAAGCTAACCGGAGAAAGAAGGGGCTCGACTACATCTTCTCTTCTCAGTCAGAGGAAGGGGCTAGCTGAAGGAAGTTCGTCATCGAACGACGGCTGCTCGTCCACGTCTTCTCTCCTCGCCGTGTCACTTGCTGGGGGAGGGGTGAGCTTTCATTTTGCTTTCGCAGACCACAAACGTTCACGATCCCCTATAACCGCGGAATTGAGATCCGATGCAGTCGTTACTACTACTACTACTTTAGCAGTCACAACACGTTTTGACCGTTGGATCGATAAAGCCAAGGGCTCAGATTTGCTCTGGTACCATGTTACACCTTTGACACTCTACAGTAATCGCTACAATAGAGTCTCAGATTTGCTCTGCTACCCTCTTGTACCTCTAACACTCTACAATAATCACTACAGTATAGATTCTTCACATGTAATTCGTGAATAGTGTTTTCTAGCTATCTGAGCCGTTCGTTTTGTATCAATCAGGCTGTGTTTAGTTCACACTGAAGTTTGGAAGTTTGGTTGAAATTAGTACGATGTGATAGAAAAGTTGTGTGTGTATGAAATGTTTGATGCAATGGAAAGTTGGAAGTTTGGAAAAAAAAACTTTGAAACTAAACAGGACCTCAGTCGAACCGCAACTCCTTATTACAATTGCACCTCTGATCTCAAACCACAACCGCGTCATGCAAATAGTGCTCAGCGGCCAGTGATCGGTGAAGGACCGAAGGTACCTTGTTGCGTGCGCGGCCGCTCGACCGCTGAAACTACGGTTGTGGTGAAAAATCTTATTCCTTCGATCACCTCATCTTTTTTGGGTTTTGCCTCACGCTACCGCCCAGTCACCGAGCGGTCACTTCGCGTCCACCCATGGCTGGCGCACCGAGACAGGCAACAGCAACGAGCCACGTATGAACAGCGCGCGCGTGCGTGAGACTGTGCGCGTGAATGTGCGTGTGAAAGCCCAATAAAAGCTGTAAGATTCGTTAAATGGTCAGCCACAGGATGGACGGCAAATCTACTTCACGTGATAGGTGCCCGTGCAGCCCGTCGGTAGTGGTACGGTGCCGGTCTGCCGGATGCCTGTCTCCCCCTGCATCTCTCTTGCACGGTGCACCCGCCCGTGCGTCGGCCGGCCACCGTCGCCGGACAAATTTTGCTCACCAGCGCACGCCTACAGCGCAGCAACGCTCGGCCGGTCACATGCCATTTCAGACAAGATGCAGCGTGTGCCATGTACGGTGGTGTACGGATGCACCATCAGTCACCAGTTCACCACCATTAAGGCTAAGGGCCTCTTTGAATCGTAGGAATAGGAAAAACATATGATTCTGATAGGAATGTAAGTGTAAAACAGAGAATTGCAAAACATAGGAAAAACGTAGGAATGATCGTTTGATTGGACCACAGAAAAAACACAGGAATTTAAGAAGAGATAAAGACTCAAAGAATTTTTTCCATGAGGTTCTACCTCTTGTTAAAATTCCCCCAAAACTTGTATAGGAAAAACTTGTATAGGAAGAGACATTCCATAGGAATTTCATAGGATTCCATAGGGTTCATTTCTTTCATTTAAAGGGCTTTGTAGAAAAAATTCCTATAGAAATAAAATCATCTAAAATTTATGAATTCCCTTGGAATCAAAGGGGGCCTAAAAGTATTGAGACTGCCATTTTTCTCGGTGGCATGATGGCTCCAGGAGAGTAAAAGCAAGGGCACAGACCGCGAACAAAACAAAGGGGGCAAAGATTGGCAATCCGACATCGACAGAGCGCACCGCCCTGTGTCAACAAAAGCTAAGCATGCAGCGGAGAAAATGGTCTGGACATCACCTCTCTACAAAAGCAAAGCAAGCGCCGGTGGAGAATTTACAGGTCACCCGACAATATCATCCCAGGGGTGACTGGGGCCTGGCGTGCGTTTAGCCACTGTGTTTGGCGTCGTCTTTTGTTAGTTTTAACCCAGCAAAATTGCAGATTTGGAGCAATGGCCTGCTCTTTTGTGCTTCATCTTCGAGGTATGGAGTTGACATGCCTCAAGATGGGTGAAAAGAGAGCCTCTGTCCTATGCAATGTGCAGTTTTGTTGGGCTAAAACGTGCAACTCGACTTCTATGCATAGTGGCTGAAACGCTTGCCAAGTACCGCACCAAATCACAAGATCGTCCCACATCTACCTTTCTCTAGAACAACTACGCTAAAATTCAGAACAATAGGTGAAAATAACGGGGGTAAATATAAGATGGGCAGCTCAGCCAATTGCCCTCTCTTCAGAAAACCTAGGAAGCTGAACAAGTGAGTTTACCCGTGTCACTCCATCGAGACCTGACCAATTTTGGTCGTTCGCTACACCAGCAATCCTCGCATCCACCCCTGCTAAGGTCTTCTCTTGCGTGCTGCCTGCAACTGTCCTAACTGTGAAATTCCGAGTTAAGGTGGGCTCCTGCTCCTGAGGTTCATTAGGATCTGCAACTGAACCCTCTTCAATACTGATGTTGTCCAATGAGGCAGTTGAGTCACGCTCATGGTCCATTTTTCCATCCAAATATAAGCAAACAACCGCGCAATCATCGATTTTGGATGTTGGATATTTGGTTTTCCATTCACGAGTGGCTGCCTCAACAAGGGATTTTGCAGCCTTTGATCTGCTTGGGGACGCGGACACTATATCAACAGCCTCTTGATTGCTGAGGACATCCCATACCTGCAAGATTTTTGTTAGTGCAAACTCTACAAAGGCAGCCAAGTATGTGCATAGCTTGTGTAACTTCAGTAAGAACTATACATGCAAACAAGGGATATATGACATACATGAAAAGACAATGACAAATTGAGAGCTTCTATGGCATGAATAAGCAGACCAAGTAACTTATCTGTTCTTTTCCAGATTCCAAACTAAAGTCTTTCGACTTTTCAAACTACATTCAATACAAAAAGGAACTAAAGAAGCTTGCTCTCCTCTGGCACAGCTGCAATATCAACTTGGTAGACAGTGATTGACATCGACCTAACTATTTTCTTCTTATAAAATCATTTTGCGTGATACTAGATACCATTATTACATGGGTAAAATGGACATCTTTCCTCGCCAATTGCAACCATTTCATAATAGGTTAAAAAGTTCAAACATCACTTTTTGGCAGTATACATTAGATAGTACATTCAAGGATAGAAACTTTTGATAGATGGTTACTAATTATAAGTTTTCTCAGAATATAACCTTGACAAGTACATAACACACATAACAACAGTATTAAAATTGACATAAAAATGAAAAGGAAAGTTGATTTGCACAGTGCACACATTCACTTGTCAATAGAAGTTGTCAGCCCAGGAGACTAGGAGGGAAAAGACCAAGAAGTTGCAGCTGAAGTAAAGTAATATGTGTAACAGAATAAGGCTCTGTTTGATTAGATATGGACTACCTAAACTATATTAAACCACAATGCAATAGTCTGCACAGCTCTTTCATACTGACAGATTGCCACTCTATAGCAGTGACCTTTAAGATACACTAACCAGTCTTCATGCTATATGATCATGCATGACACCGCTAGTTTATAAAGTCAATACATATAGGCCTTAATTTGGTACTACCTATTGAGTGTCACCAAATTCAATCCCCCTAATAGTAAAAAAATTGAACATACGTGATTCCCACCTAATGCTCAAAAAAGAAAGGAAAACCATCCACTTCAAGTGATTGACAAATGACAAGCTTAAAGCCACTCCATTACAAAGTGGCAGAAATTAATTGGTGAAACATTTAAGCAAAAGTAGGATGTCCTACTATACCACTGAATGATTCAGTTTTGGTATATATCACAAAAAAAAAACCCAGTTCATTTTAATACCAGAAAAAAAAGATACTCCATTACTATTGGTGCTGAATTTAATGGATAGCAGCTAATTGTGTCCACCCTCCATTACTATTGTTGCTGACCAGCACCCTATGTTATCATCTCATCTGTTCTTAGCAATGACGCTACCACAACCACTAAACAAAATGAGCACTGCCAGCCCTGCATCGCCCATGCTCCCCTTTTATGTTGCTGCTCTGCGCCCCACCCCCCCCCCCCCCCCCCCAAAAAAAACCCCATCTTCCAACACGCTGCATTTTCAGTGCACTTTTTTCTTGAACTGTAGCAAAAGATTGTTGTGGATGCAGGTGGCTGCACGTAGACACTAGACAAAGGTGTTGGCAATATTGTGAACAGTCATGGTCACAGCGGTGTGGCCTGTCAATGCCCTAGCGCAGTCATGATTGGTGACACGAGGTACTAGTATGCGATCACGATAAGGAAAGGAGCATTACTGGTTGGGTCACGTTTTATCCGCAGGGTGAGGCGGTGTGGACCAGTCAGCAGGCACATGATGCATCGATGAAGAAAGATGACAACATGTGGATGAACAAGAGGAGAGGTGAAGATGATGGAGTTAAGTGAAAGTCAACAGTGTGGTATATTCTAGGTATTATGACATTTTCGTGGAATTGAAGTGAACTGGGATCTATCGTGTAATTTCCCCCAAAGTAGTTTGGGTTTGTCTGGTAGAATACCCACATTATTCAGATGGGTAGACTATTGACAGGAAAACAAGTTATTGACCATTAGGACTTCCTAATTTTATTGGCTACTCCATATGCCATTAGCTTAATGTGCTCACTTCTAACTGCTACAGTTGAAAGGTGCACATGATCTCATCAACAACAATTAAATCAATCAACCGAGTCAAGTTGAATAAGGATAAGATTTAACAGTTTGAGTACAGCTGATAACAAAAAGTGGGTGACGATGCAGGCATGCAGCAAAGAAGACTGTTAAGCTGGCTAATCATTATTTATGCCGCAGTCACAAAAGGCACAAATGGAGGATACTTAAATTATTTCACCTGCAATCATGATAGTTTTAGAAATAAATCCTGAAAGATACAGCGGTTTGAAGTCAAAAGCCTAAACCATTCGTGGATATGTTAATCACGTCTCTTTTAGCTTCTAAAGAAATGCACGAGATGTCATGGATACGCTAGGCCCGCCATGTGCAACTAACAACATGTGGAATGCGAAAGTGTGACAGATTGACACTACATCGCAACTAATCTAATTCCAGCGGAAAGAAAGTAGGATTTTGCAGGGACAGAGATACTCATTCGCTGCACGGGCAAATATCCAACAACCAAACAGAGAACAATGAATTATCTGTTCAAGTGATAGGTTCGAGCAAATTACCCCATCCGATGCAAGAATGACGAACTGGTCCTTTTCTGTGAGAGACCAGTGGAAGAATTCCGGCACCGAGATGACCCCGTAATCTTTCAGGCAGAAGTCCCCGAACGCTCGCGCCATCGCGAGGCCCGGCGCGTCGTCGAACGGCAGCCAGACCCTTGGCACCTCCGGCTCGTCCTGCAGCGCGAACACCCTGCCCCTGCACTTCTTGATCCTCTCCGCTTCGCCTGAAATCACAACCAGCACCATAAGCGCAAGAGCACGACCTCCTAACACGATTAGCGGGTGAGTGGAAGCAGGGGAGTGGCATACTGGGGACATCCGGCTTGAGATCAACGGTGAGCTGCACGGCGACCATGCCGCCGCCGGTGGCCTCCCTGGAGCCGAGCACGGCGCGCGAGTCCCCAATGTTGGCCATGTAGAGATCCGAGCCCTGCATGCAGAAATCGCCCCGTGAGCCGCCGTGCGTAGACGCATAGTAGGCAGATTCGATTTGACATTTTTGAGAGGACGGGGGGGTGATGGACAGGAGATGCGTGTCATGTCCGGTGTCCACGGCACGTACGAGCTTGAGGACGGTGACGGCAGTGCTTCCGCTGCAGAAGCAATCGAGGGAAGGGTGCGACCGGAGGTCCTTGTCCATGGCCTTGTAGGCGCGCGCGAAGGCCTTCCTCCATGCGGCGGCCGGCATGTCCGCCCCGCTGTCGCGCGCCGCGGACATGAGCCTCAGCGGCAGCGAGTCGCGGACCCTCCGCGCCACCACGTGCCCGTGCGGCCCGTGCCCGTCGAACACCCCGCACAGCACGCCGTCGTCCTCGCCGCCGAACCCCTGCCATTCACGATCAATCAAACGAGAAGTCAGCCAATCGCGCCGAGAAAAGCGGGAATTAGATAGGGGGAGAGAGATAGAGAGAGAGAGCCGAGAAACCTTCCACTTACATCCCAGACGAGCATGGCGTCCTGGTTGATCCCCTTGCGCCCTTGCTGCGTGTACACCGTCGCCGTCCGGCTGCGGCCGTCGTTGGAGAAGATCCGGCCGGGCACCATCCCGAGCTGATCTTCCCGCGGCGCCTTCCACCTCCTCCTCCGCCTCTTCCCATCCTCCCCTCCATCACCACCCGCATCCACCGCCGTCCCGCTCCTCGCCACGCAGTTCCCCATCCTCCTCCACCACCAACACCAATGCCCAAATCAGCACAAACACACACACAAACACAACCCCGTCCTCCGCACGCAACGCAAACCCCAACGAAATCAACGCCGCCCTCCCGCCCGCCGCCACCACAGCAAGGAAGAGAGATTCCCCCCTCGCACAAGCTTGCAGATGCGGCACTCAAACCCAAACCCGAACACGAAAAGTCAAGGCGGACCCCCTCCCACCTGGGTGATGCCGAGGTGAGGTGACGAGGCGAGACGGAGAAGAGAGAGAGAGGGGGGTGGGAACATGGAGGTAGGCTTATTTATTGCGGGGGGCAGCGGACACCACCACCTCCACCTCCACCTCCTCCAGCGCGCACGGAGGAGGATGGGTGGGGAGTCTCGTGTGAGTCGTGTCTCGCGGTTGATGGCGTGTAAGAGCGTGGCCGCCGATGGTCTCGTGTCTCGCTTGCTCAGCTCGTCTCCCGACGCGCTGCCGTTGCCACGACCATGGACCTAGCGTAGCGGTCGTTGTTTCAGGTGGTGTTTACATCAGGGACTAGTCCCTGTCTCCCTGTCTTTAAACACTAATTTAGAGTATTAAATATAGACTACTTACAAAACTAATTACATAAATAAAAGCTAAATCACGAGACAAATTTTTTAAGCCTAATTAATCTATAATTAGAGAATGTTTACTGTAGCATCACATAGGCTAATCATGGATTAATTAGGCTCATTAGATTCGTCTCGCAAATTAGTCCAAGATTATGGATGGGTTTTATTAATAGTCTACGTTTAATATTTATAATTAATTTTCAAACATCCGATGTGATAGGGACTTAAAAGTTTTAGTCCCATCTAAACAGGGCCTTACTCCTCGTCGATGTTGTTTGATCGTCTGTTTAGATCCACGTTAAAATTTTACATCCCGTCACATCGAACGTCTGAACACATATACCAAAGTACTCCCTCCGTTTCATAATACAAGGGATTTTAAGTTTTTGCTGGTGCTGTTTGACCACTCGTCTTATTCAAAAAAATTTAGAATTATTTTTTTTGACTTACTTTATTATCCAAAGCACTTAAGCACAACTTTTCGTTTTTTATATTTGCACAAATTTTTGAATAAGACGAGTGGTCAAACAATGAAAAAAAACTCAAAGTCCCTTATATTATGGGACAGAGGGAGTATTAAATATAGGCTGAGTTTAGTTCCAAACTTTTTTTTTAAACTTCCAACTTTTCCATCACATCAAAACTTTCCTACACACACCTTCCAACTTTCCCGTCACATCGTTCAAATTTCAATCAAACTTACAATTTTGGCGTGAACTAAATACACCCATAAGTTAAAAAATATACCCCCTCCGTAGCAAAATACATATAATTCTAGGTTGTTTAGCATATACTAAGATTAAGAGAAAAAGACTATAATATCCTTTAGTAACTAATGTGCTCCCTCCGTAAAAAAAAGCATAGCCAGAGTTTACTTTTTTTTAAAAGACGGAGGGAGTATAGTTGGATGTAAGATGGTGGTTGGGAGTATAATGAGAAGAAATTTGAATTAGAAGTGGTTAATGTGGCAAGTACTACTTTCAAGTGATAATATTTTGGGACAACTTTTGAATGCTAGAAAGACAAGTATTGTGGGATGAAGGAAGTAACTACTCCAATTACATAGATTGCGACTAATTTACGAGAAATATTTTAATCATAATTGCTCCATGATTTGACAATATGATGCTATAGTAAACATGTGCTAATAAAAAATTAATTAGGTTTAATAAATTTATGTTACTACCTCCGTCCTATAATAAGTGCAGTTTTGCACTATTCACGTTCAACGTTTGACCGTCCGTCTTATTTAAAAAATTTGTGAAAAAATTAAAAACATTTAGTCACACATAAAGTACTATTCATGTTTTATTATCTAATAGCAATAAAAATACTAATCATAAAAAATTTTCAAATAAGATGGACGGTCAAACGTTGAACATGAATAGTGTAAAACTGTACTTATTTTGAGACGGAGGGAGTACAATTTACTTACGAATATTATAAATAGTATTTTTTTTTATTAATGCACACACACCACATGCGACAGACGTTTTTCCTCGGTTGATGTAGCGGTAGGAGTAGCCTGCAGGCTGCAGGAGTCGTTTGTTTACCGGGAGGAGGGAGCGCGGACTGCGAGGAATAAACAAGCGGCGAGCAGGGGAGACCGCCGACCGGGTCGCCTTGGCGGCAGCGGCGGTCAGAGCGGGGGGCAAGTGTTGAACGGGATGGACACGTCGTACTGGTACTACTTAACCCGTGCATTTGGTTCGCTCTGTGTGGAGGCAAGTGTTCGTCCGGATTATGCTAGAGTTGCGCCCCCTTGCAATGGAAAATCGCCGTATTGCGTATCTCGAAAATTTGTATATGGCCTCTTTGTAGCTGTCGCCGAGAGTTAGGGCCAATTTAAATTGCTACCCTACCAAAATTTGTCCTATCAAAATTTTGGTAGGATTGCAAACCAAACACCTCTGCTAAAACTCTACCTATGCTATAAATTTGGCTTTGCCTATAAACTTATCTCTTATGGGTAAATTTTGACTTCAATCCAAATAAACATTTTCAACTCTACCCTACCAAAAATTTTAGTAGTACCAAAACTTGTCCAAGATTTAGCACTACCAAAATTTTTGTAGGGCATCAATCCAAACATGCCCTTACTATTCTATAAAAAAGAAAGAACAAATCTATGACCCGGATCTAAAATGCACTTTTTTCCAACTATGGCTTTTTTTTCTTCCTAAACCGGAATGAGATCTTCTACATGAAAATGCAACGGAGAACAGTCGGATGCGAGAGGTGGCAAAAGCTCTCGACTCTAATTATTCGGACTATATTGCTACAGTAACATATGACAGTTCAAAAGGAGCTTCACAGTAACTATCGTTCATTAGTTTGTAGCGGACTTAATTGTACTGTTGTTAGAGAGACTCTATGTAATAGTGCTGGTCTGCTGCAATTTTGATCCCTCCTACTCTCTCCGTTTTATAATATAAGAGATTTTAAAGGGATGTGATATTCCATAGAACTATAAATCCGGACAGAAATATCACATCCTCCAAAATCCCTTATACTATGGGACAGAGGGAGTAAAACCTACTCCCTCCGGTTCTATAATAATTAACGTTTTGGATAAAGTTAAAGTCAAACTTCAATAACTATGACCATCAATAACTTCAAAAATATTTAGTTTAAAGAAACTAGAACAACATATATAGATTTGTCTTTCAAAACACTATAATAAAAATAAACATGCATTTATTTCTTGTGTATATTATAATAGAAAAATAATGTCAAAGGTATATTTTGTAGACCGTGTCATTGTCCAAAACGTCAATTAAAATAAAACCGGAGGGAGTAAGCTTCTATACTTTTCTCCCTCTTGTTATTATCCATTGCCCTACCTGGCAACACTATAATCATTCCTAATTTCTTCTTCTTATGCTAAACTGTATTACCTTTTTTTCCCAATAAGATAATACATGTACAAGATTTTTGGATAAATGGTTAAAAATCAGCTCCAACAGATCACCTTTTATATTAAAAATTTAAAGTTTCCTTCTTCATATTTGTCGTTCTCGACTTGTAGGGGTGTCCGAGGGCTCTCAATCCCTTCCATCCTGTTGCTTTCCCACTGTTCGCGACTTCTTACCATGCAGTGCGAAAATGTTCCCACAAGGTAGTTTAATGTAGCACTGCATTGTCAAATCATAGCGCAATTAGGCTTAAAAGATTCGTCTCGCAATTTACACACAAACTGTGTAATTAGTTATTTTTTTTATATTTAATACTCCATACATGTGTCCAAACATTCGATGTGACAGAATGTAAAATTTTATCAGGGGATCAAAACAGGCACTATGTACTTAAAAGCGTAGTCATCCTCTTTATATCCCCTTTTCGCCATGTGTAGGAGTTCGTCCGGCGTCCGCTGTAAGTAATCGTGATAGGAATCAATACTTTATCTTCAATTCATCCACTCAATTCTTAATTATATCAGTATGGTCCGTTAGAAAGTACATACATATTATACATATTGCTATAAGGAGTGAGCGTTGATGTGTGCTCAAAGTATATAAAGATAGTGTTGAAGGTATGCACAACTGTACAAGACCATCACATGAAACATACGTAAACCAACCACCATCACTACCAATTAAAAACCCTTGAAGTAGCGAAGTAAAGCACCGAGAGAGTGACCATTTTCCATCGCAAAACCTGTGGTCCGGACGTGAGAGAACATCGATCGATCAATCTGCCCGGCCCCAGGAGGTAAAGAAACATCCACACAACCGCATTGGTCACGGCCCGTGCCTTTTCAGAAAGGCAAGTATATATATCTGGATTGGACCCAAAAGGGCTCGGCGACTCCAGCTCCAATCAACCGCCGATGAGCCTACCACAAGACTTCGCGTAAAGAGATCCCCAAATCCCAAACGCGATCGACCGGAAAGAAATTCCGCTCGCGGCGACGGCGGCGAGGCGGCGCACGGCGTAGCCGAGCCTCGTTTCGGCTCAGCTGCAGGGCCGCCCGCCTTTCGGCGTCAGAATCGGCGCCTTTTCCGGGTCGCCGGATCGATCCCATTCCCAGGGGGGTTCCCAGGGGAGGCAGCTAACGTGAGCTGTTTGTTGGTAGCCATCGATTTTGCGCCGTTGGATCGAGGGATGGACGGCTCGGATTCCGGCCTTCATTCCAAGGAGAATCTAGAAAAAAAAGGCGTTTGCTTGCTGGTGCTAGGATGATCCACGGCATGATCACGTCCACAGCGGATGGCTCCTTTGTTTAATGCATTGGCCCAACTGCTGCCTACCGTTTCTGGCTTGCACGCTTGGATGATGGGCGTGGATGGGATCATTAGGGGGGCAACAATGGATGATGGGGTTTGAATGGTTAGTACCACTTGTTTCTTAATTAGCAGATTATAAATAATAACGCAGCGGGCCAAGATTCTGACGGAGTACGATATTTTTCTGTAGCTGGAGTGACGCGGCTGATGGTGCTGTGCTGGCTGCCTGGCTCGCGTTTGCAACCTCAGGCAGCCCATGCTCGCACGGCGCAGCACACGCAAGACTGACAGCATCACTGCACCAAGCCGTTCGCTGTACCTTGCTGTATTATTTGGAGGATGATACTGTGCGAGCTCAGTTTCCCGAACTAAACCTCAAATGTCTATTTCGGCCGTAAAAGCCAGATTAAATCCTTGCAACTAATAATCCTATTGATGCTAAACTGGTTTTTGGAGTATTGCAAACTCTGCAAGTCGTATGCTAACATAACACGGTGTCACATCAGCAATATCAGTGCTGAATCAGCAAAGAAAAAACTATTTGAATCCATCTGTCAACGTCATGTTTATCTAATTATCTTCTTTCTCTTTTTCTGGCTGTTGCATACTAGTAGGTCCCAACTTGAAGTGGCAATCATAGATAATTCCGCATGGGCT